AGGGCTCTATGAGAGAAGGAGTGAAGCAAACAGATTTTCGGAGAGAGTTCCAGAGAGTAGGGGAGAGGATGGTGGTTTCTGAAGGATCTGACACTAATGGTGCGAGGGGATGATGTGAGGAATCAGTGGTGATGCTGAGTTGGAAGAGCAGAAGGTAAGGGCAAGAGAAAAGGGCTGGAGGAAATGGCCATGGCTGAGAGGGGCAAAGGATTTGAAGGGTATCTTATTAAAAATTATTTTCAGACTGTAAAACTGACCGCAAGGTAGTTTCTAAAGAATAATTTGACACCAACATTCCAAACAGCACATAAATTATGGAGTCCCGTAGTTTAGTGGTTAGAGCACTCGCCTCGTAGCAAGAAAACCTGGGTTCGATTCCCAGGCAGGGCTAAATGTTGGGCAAGTTTCCTTACTCCACACGCCTCTATTTACCAGCAGTAAGTAGGAACCCAGCTGTTAGTCAATTGGCCGATTGTTATTCTGGGGCTAATAATCCCTTCAAATTAAAAATAAAATAAATATTTGGTCACTCAATCCACGACTGTTTGTGGGACGCTGCTGTGCACAATTGGCTGTCGCTTTTTGCCCACGAAATATACAGTCAATTCACTTTACATAATATTCTGTGAAGCGCTTTGAGACATCTCAAAGATGTGATAAGGCACTGTATCAAATGCAAAGATTATTATTATTAAAAGCAGTGGAAAATAATAATAATAATAATAATCCTTGGATTTGATATAGCGCTTTTCACGTCGGGAGGACGTCCCAAAGCGCTTCACAGAACATACTGTAAAGTGAATTGACTGTATATATGTGGGCGAACGCGGCAGCCAATTGCGCACAGCAATGTCCCACAAACAGTCGTCGATTGAAAATGACCAATTTATTATTGTTTTTGGTTTTGGAGGGATTATTATTAGGCTCTGTGTGGAGTAAGGAAACTTGCCCAAGGTTTCGCCCTCTGCCTGGAATTGAACTCAGGTCTCTCACTTGCAAAGCGAGTGCTCTAACCACTGAGCTACAGGACTCCACGGTTTGGAGTTTGGACTCTAGGTTTGTGATTATGTCATTTTATTGATAAGAGCAAAACTGCTAAATTGCTCCCCTGCCTTAGAGTGAGAATTCCTGCTGGGAAGATCTAACACAATGAAGGTTATGATAGATCCTATTTTCTTATTCCGTGTAAATGTACATCTAATAGATTAAATATCATAAGACTAATTTTATAATAATAATCCTTAAATTTCACATAGCACCGCATCATATCATCCAAAACAGCATTTTTTATAACATTTAGTGACTGTGTATTTTGTAGGTAAACACAGCAGCCAATTTCAACAACAACAACAACTTGGATTTACATAGCGCTCTCCACTCTGGACGGCGTCTCTGAGTGCTTCACAGTATCGGATCCCGGGGCCGACCGGGGGGAGGGGGAGGAAGGTGACCAAAGACACGGTCGAAAAGAAAGGTCTTCAGCCGAGATCTGAAAATACGAAGAGAGAGAGCAAGACGAAGGGAGGGAGGGAGTTCCAGAGCCTCGGGGCATAGTGGCTGAAGGCACGATGGAGAATTCGGGGGACAAGGAGGAGGCCAGACCTGGTGGAACGAAAGCAACGGGCACTGTTGTGAGGAGAGAGGAGGTCAGAGAGGTCGGGGGGGCCAAAGGAGTGGAGGGATTTGAAGACGAGTGAGGATCTTGAAGTCGATCCTCTCTGCGACAGGTACAGTCTGGCAAGGACTGAGGTAATCGGGGAGCGGAGTTTGGTACGGGTAAGAATGTGGGCGACAGAGGTCTGTTATGACCTGGATTTTATGGATGGTAGTGGAGGGGAGACCACGAGGAGGGCATTAGAATAGTCCAGCCGAGAAGTGACAAAGGCGTGGACCAGGGTTTCGGCGGCTTTTGTGGTGAGGTATTGGCGGAAGCGGGCGATGCATTGGAGTTGGAAGAAAGCGATGCTGGTGAGGGACCGGATGTGGGGGAGGAAGGATAATTGGGGGTCGAGTTCAGAGAGTTTTAGGGGGAGGTTGGGTAGGTTGAGAAGATGAGAACCAAGCGATTTAAGACGTTGACGAGAGCCAAAGAGTACGGCTTCCGTCTTGTCAACATTTAGCTGAAGGAAATTTGCGCTCATCCAGCTTCTGATGTCTGACAGGCAGCTGACAGAACATCAGAGGCCTGGGGGTCGCAAAGTGAGGTGACATTTCCACACAGAAATGTCCCACAAACAGCCATAAGGTGAATAACCAGATGTTGGGATGTATCAAAAGATCAATAGCAGCCGAAATAGTGGGGTAATCCCGCCACTGTATAAATCATTGGTGAGATTGTATTTAGAGACTGTGTACAGTTCTGGTCACCGCAGGACAAAAAGGATACTGGAGAAATCGAGAAGATACAGAGGAGGGCAACCAAACGATTGAGGGAATGGACTATGAGGAGCGACTGAGTAAATTGTGTATGTTCACGCTGGGAAAGAGAAGATTGAGAGGCGACATGATTGATGTCTTTAAGACTCTAAAGGGGCAAAACAATATAGATCATGTCGGGCTGCTTCAACTTGTTCAGAATAATAGAACCAGAGGCGATTGAAGGCGGATAAATTCAGAACAAATCTACGCAAACACTATTTCAGTGAGCGAATAGTGAACCTGTGGAACAGGCTCCCGAGGGAGACGGTTGAAACAGGAAATGTTGATTCCTTCACACACAGATTGGATAGTTTTCTTTTAGGAAACAACTTTATGGGATACAGCACATAGGGAGTTTGGGATATATGGGCTAACGACCGTCAGGAAGGTGGAAGGAGAACTAGGTGGACATTGGTCTTTTTTTTGTCTAGATTTTCTCATGTTCTTATCTGGGGGATTGTCGGCCAGGACATCAGTCGAGAGAAACTCCCTTCTCTTTTCAAATAATGCCGCGGGATCTTTAACGTCCTCCTGGACAGGCAGAAGGAACCTGGGATTAATGTCACATCTGAAAGGCGACACATTCTGCAATGCAATGCTCTGCCCCCAATCTCTCTACATTGTTTTGCACACAAAATATAATTCACTTTAAAATATATTCTGGAAAGCGCTTTGAGACATCGCAAAGAGTTAATAAAGCGCTGTACCAAATGCAAAGATTATTATTATTATTATATTATTATTATGTAAGCTTGTCCCGAGATGTGCTCGGTTGTGATGAGCATCTTGAACCTATAATCTCCTAACTCCGAGGCTCCCAACTGAGCCGGGCTGACTCTTTATTGTAAAAACTTGTTAGGAATATTGTTAGGTCTATTTAAGAATGGTCTGGAATGTACTGCCTAAGAGGATGATGGAAGCAGATTTGATAATAGCTTTCGAAAGGTAATTGGGATAGGGATTAAAAAAGAAAAAAAATGTGCAGGGGCTATGGGGTAAGAGTGGAGTCCTGTAGCTCAGTGTTAGAGCACTCGCCTCGCGAGCGAGATACCTGGGTTCAATTCCCGGCAGGGCGAAACCTTCGGCAAGTTTCCTTACTCCACACACCTAATAATAATCCCTCCAAAACAAAACAATAATAAATTGGTCATTTTCAATCCCCACTGTTTTGTGGGACGCTGCTGTGTGCGATTGGCTGCCGCGTTCGCCCACAAATATACAGTCAATTCACTTTGCAGTGTGTTCTGTGAAGCGCTTTGGGACGTCCTCCCAACGTGAAAAGCGCTATATCAAATGCAAGGATTATTATTATTATTATTATTATTATTCTGTGAAGCACTTTGAGACGTCGAGAAGACATGAAAAGCGCTATATCAAATTCAAGGCTTATTATTATTATACTATTATAAGAGCGGGGGTGTGGGGCTAGTTAACGTAAAAGCGGGGGAGTGGGGCTAGTTGGGGTAAGAGCGGGGGAGTGGGGCTAGTTGGGGTAAGAGCGGGGGAGTGGGGCTAGTTGGGGTAAGAGCGGGGGAGTGGGGCTAGTTGGGGTTAGAGCGGGGGAGTGGGGCTAGTTGGGGTAAGAGCGGGGGAGTGGGGCTAGTTGGGGTAAGAGCGGGGGAGTGGGGCTAGTTGGGGTTAGAGCGGGGGAGTGGGGCTAGTTGGGGTAAAAGCGGGGGAGTGTGGGCTAGTTGGGGTTAGAGCGGGGGAGTGGGGCTAGTTGGGGTAAGAGCAGGGGAGTGGGGCTAGTTGGGGTAAAGCGGGGAGTGGGCTAGTTGGGGAGTGGGGCTAGTTGGGGTAAGAGCGGGGGAGTGGGGCTAGTTGGGGTAAAAGCAGGGGAGTGGGGCTAGTTGGGGTAAAAGCAGGGGAGTGGGGCTAGTTGGGGTAAGAGCGGGGGAGTGGGGCTAGTTGGGGTAAGAGCGGGGGAGTGGGGCTAGTTGGGGTAAGAGCGGGGGAGTGGGGCTAGTTGGGGTAAGAGCGGGGGAGTGGGGCTAGCTGGGGTAAGAGCGGGGGAGTGGGACTAGTTGGTAGCTCTTTCGAAGAGCCGGCACACACAGGCACGATGAGCTGAATGGTTCCCTTCTGTGCTGTAAGATTCTACGAATCTGTGGTAATAACAATAATAAGCTTTGCATTTGAGATCACGTCTTCGAGACGTCACAGAGTTTACTGTAAAACACGGTGACGTTATATTTTGTGGGTGAAACGCAGCAGCCAGTTGTCTGCTCTTTCCCCTTTAAGAAGCCTGGAGCTCACGTGTCAAGTTGGGCAGGAGCTCGACAAGTTTATCCTGAAGATTTATTATCTGACGCTGTGCCGAAATCCTTCATGTATGTGCCAGATCCGTGCAGCATAACACACATCACACCACAGCTACAGTTCAGTCTGGAGCTGTCAGTTTCTCACGAAGGGCCCACCGTGGAATATATGTTTCAGCATGACTTAACTTCCTGTTTTTACATTTTTTTCCCAGCCGGCTTCAGTTTGCTAAGTTCAGTGGAAAAATTAAGTAAAAGCAGCACCGGAGGAGGAGTGGGTGGGTGGGGGGTGGGGGGGGGGTTGGGGACGGCAACGGGTGGTGGTGGGGATGGGGTGGGGGGGGAATCTCCTTTGCTACTGGATACATTGGACAACAGGTAGATAGCTGGTGGCAAATTGTATGGTGATAATGTAGATCGTGGCCACCCCGCACTGTGCTAGAGATGAGAGAGGCCTTGGCTGCTGTGTTACGGTGGCAAAGCTGTCTGCCAGCTGTGACTGTGCATTGCTGCATGTAGTCTGGACAAGTCAGGTCTGTCGCACCCCGTCACCGAGCCAGACTTTGCTCTCCTTGTTTGTTAACCTCAAGGGTGTTGTCGGAATGGGTCTCACGCAGCCCTGAGCAATCGGTCACTTGCGGACTGAGTGGACGTTAGCGTGGAATGCCTTGCCTCTTCGCTTGTCGAGTGGTGTGTGGAGCCCAGCGAGAGACAGCTTAGAGCAGCCTGCACTCCGCGTGGGGCAGGTGCACGACACGCAAGTGTTCTCGTTGGAAAAAAAATTATCAGCCAGTGGTCTCTCGCCTGAAACGCGACGGTCTGTTTGTCTGTCACGCCTGCAGCAGCTCGGTTTGGTTTGGTGCTTGAATAGCTGCCGGCTGAGGTAAACCGAGGCAGGTTCTAACTAACTCTTCAGTGAAGTGCTCACTGGTCACTCAGGACTCCACTCGAGGCTGAAGGCACGAGCGGGAGGGAAGCCCGTTTGTACAAATAGAACATCCGTGCGCTCAGAGTCAGGAGCCTGTGACGGGCAGCAGTCGGCTTTAAAAACAATGGAGCATTTTCAGTGTCTTACCAAAAGCCTGAAGTGTACAGCCGTTTTACAACAAGAACAACAACTTGCATTTATATAGAGCCCTTCACACAGGGTAGCATCCCGGAGCGCTTTCAAAAGACACAAGGACCAGACTGTTCTAACCAGGTGAGTTACCTGTTAAACACTCTCACACCGCAATACAGTGACATTTTGCTCTGTTACCATTGCAAGTCGTGTTCGTGTAAAGGTTGAGTCTGTAATCTTCTGATCTACATTGTTTTTGAAGGTGTTGCATTAAATCCAACAAGCAGCATGATAATAATAATAATCCTTGCATTTGGTACAGCACCTTATCGCGTCTTCAAGATGTCACAAAGCGCTTCACAGAACACACTGTAAATACACTGTGAATCGACTGTATATTTTGTGGACGAAACGCGGCAGCCATTTGTCTGTTTGAAGGGATTATCATTCCCGGTCGGTAATAATCGATGAACAACTGGGTTCCTATTTACTGCTGGTAATTAGAGGTGTGTGTGTGTGTGGAGTAAGGAAACTTGCCCAAGGTTTTGCCTGCCCGGGAATCAAACCCGGGTCCTCTCGCTTGCGAGGCGCGCTGTAACCACTGAGCAATGCACCACATTACAGAATATTCTGTGAAGCGCTTTGGGTCGTCTCAGACATGACACGGAAATGCATCAAATGCAAAGATTATTATTATAACACTCGGTGCAATTTATTTTAAAATTAATTATAAACTCCACAATTGGAAATATTATTATTATTACTATTGTATTTCCTTACCCTTTGGTGATTATTGTACAATGGTAATTCCACCCCTCTGCCCCACTCCCCCCCTCCTCACAGCCCCCCTCCTCACAGCCCCCCCTCCTCACAGCCCCCCTCCTCACAGTTCCCCCTCCTCACAGCCCCCTCCTTACACACCCCCTCCTCACACCACCCCTACTCACACCCCCCCTCCCCACTACCCCCCTCCTCACACCACCCCTCCTCACACCCCTTCCCCGCACACCCCCTCCTCACACTCCCCCTCCCCACACTCCCCCTCCTCACACTCCCCCTCCCCACACACCCCCTCCTCACACTCCCACTCCCCCTCCCCACACCCCCCTCCTCACACACCCCCTCCCCACACACCCCCTCCTCACACTCCCCCTCCCCACACACCGCCTCCCCACTTTACAGTAACAGTAACAATAAGCCTTATATTTGAGATAGCACTTTATCACGTTGCCAAAATAGCTCAAAGTGTTCCATAGGATTTTACTGTGAGCTGTGACTACAGTAACCAATCTGCACAAAATAATGTCCCACAAACAGGTATTAGGTGAAGGTGATTTTTTACCTGGTTTGCCTGGCCACCAGGAGAAACTCCCTTCTCTTTTTAAATATTGTCACAAGATCTTCAGCATCCACCTGGATCTTGGTTTTAACATCTGAGCTGAAGGACAGCAGTGCAGCATTCACTGGGGAGTCACCTTAGACAATAATAATAACAATCTTTGCATTTGATATAGCTTCTTATCAGGTCTTTGCGACATCTCAAAATGCTTCACAGGATATACTGTGAAGTGAATTGACTATATATTTATGGGTGAAACACGGCAGCATCCCACAAACAGTCGTGGAATGAGTGACCAAATCATTAATTCTTTTTTGAAGGGTTTATTACCCCAGGAAAAGCGATCCACCAATCGATTCACAACCAGGTTCCTACTTACTGTTAGGTTAACAGAGGCGTAAGGACACTTGACCAACGGTTCGCACTGCCCGGAATTGAACCCAGATTCTCTCGCTTGCGAGGTGAGTGCTCTAACCACTGAGCTATAGGACAATGGACTCAAAGTCTTGACATGGGGCCTGAGTCCATAACTTTCTGGTTCCTGAGGTGAAAGTGTTACTAACTCAGTCAGGTTGATACTAATGACACCTGACATTATGCAAATAATATAATGTATTATATTATATTATATTATATTATATTATATTATATTATATTATATTATATTATATTATATTATATTATAACAGTGCTGAGTTAGGCACCTGTACATGTGAGTCCTGTAGCGTATTGGGTAGAGCCCTCTCCTCACAAGAGAGAAGACCCGGGTTCGATTCCCGGGCAGGGCAAAACCTTCAGCAAGTTTCCTTACTCCCAATGTCTCTGTTTAACTAGCAGTGGCTCGCGCCACCTCCACACCTCGGGCGCTGGCAGCATCAGCCTCCATGGCTGCACACTTAATCTCACTAAACCAGTCAGGAACCTGGGTTTCTTGTTTGACCCTGAACTGTCCTTTCTCCCCCACATCCGCGCCATGACCGGCACTGCCTACCACCACCACCGCAACATTGCCAGACTCCGCCACTGCCTCACCACTCAGGCTGCCCAAACCCTCACCCACCCAATCGTCACCTCAAGGCTTGATTACGGGAACTCCCTCCTCATCGGCCTTCCCAACTCTTCCCTTCACAAACTGCAGATCATCCAAAACTCTGCAGCTCGTGTACTCTCACGCACAAGGGCTCCGCACCCCATCACTCCCGCCCTCGCCCGACTCCACTGGCTCCCCATCCCCCAGAGGATCAAAATTGTCGTCACCTTTAAGGCCATCCATGGCCTCGCCCCCTCCTACCTCTCTGACCTGCTGACTCCCTACCAACCTGCCCACTCCCTCCATTCAGCGGGTTCCAGCCTGCTCCATGTCTCCCGCCCGACCCACCCTACCATCGGTGGCCGGGCTTTCAGCCTCTCTGCCTCCACACTCTGGATCTCCATCCCACTAAACATAGTAACTGGATCCCTTCGCCTCGCTCCTCCCTCGCCTCCTTCAAGGCCGGTCTCAAGACCCTTCTCTTCGACCGTGCTTTGGTCTCTCTCCCACCTCTCTACCTTCCCTCACCCGTACACCACCCCTCCCCCATGCTCGGGCCCCGACACCTGACTGTTCAGCACTTTGGGACGTCCTCCCGACGTGAAAGGCGCTCTATAAATGTAATTTTTGTTGTTGTTGTTGTTGTGAGTAGGAACCCGGTTGTTAGTCGATTGGCGGATCACTTTCTGGGGATAACAATTCCTTTAAAAAAAGGGTAATTCAATCCACGACTGTTTGTAGGACACTGCTGTGCGCAATTGGCTGATGTGTTTGGCCCACAAAATATACAGTCAGTCAACTCACTTTACAGTATATTGTGTGAAGCGCTTTGAAACATCTCAACGATATGATTAGGCGCTAAATCAAATTGCAAGGATTATTATTACTGTGCAATATGGTACTCTATGCAATGCTGGTCATGTATATGGCATTATTACTGTGCAGTGTGGAATCATGTAGAGTGAAGGCCTATGCACATTTGATGAGGAAGGCAATGCACCTTTGCTATTCTTATTTGTAGAGGTGGGTTATGGTGTATGACTGGTTCATATTTGTTGCATGGAAATACTGACCCACGTAGAATTACAGTGGAGTGATGAATCTTTCCGATTACCAAGCAGAAAATTCTCTCCACAAAAGCACTGCACTGCAGCCAGTTTTTACATTCGGGATTTCTCTAACTGTGAGGATTATTGTTGGCGTTAAGGCAGAGAGGATTCAGCGGTGCAAAAAATACAGCCAGTCAATTACTTACTAAACATAGTAACTGGAAAACCCAGACAGTCACTGACTAACTAACTATAAAAGGCAAAGTCAATAACTATTTATAATAATAGAAATTTGGCTGTTTGTGGGACACTGTTGTGTGCAATTGGCTTCAGCATTTAGCCCACAAAATACACAGTCACTACAAATTCCAGTATATTCTGTGAAGGGTTTTGAGACGTCTCGAAGATGTAATAAAGCGTTACATCAAATGCAAGAATTATTATTATTAACTAACTAACCAACCAACCAACCAACCAACCAACCAACTAACTAACTAACTAACTAACTAACTAACTAACTAGAAATCAGGACAGTCAATGACTAACAGAAAATGCACAGTCACTAACTAACTGAAGGTGGTAAGCAGCTAAATGGGAGGACAGTCGACCACTAACAAAAAATAGTAACTACCATATCTATAACTGGTTAAAGTGGAGGTTACAGAGCAGCCGCGGCACTTGTCTGTATGTGGGCAGACACGTGATTATTACTTATTATGACTCAGCGGCGTGATAAGGCACTATATCAAACATAAGGATTATTATTTTACCAGGTTTTAGCAGTTTAAGTTTGCTCTGAGCATTTCCGCTCTTCAAAGCCTGTCTGGGGCCAGGTGTCTGTGTTCACCTCCCACTCTCACTGGGGCGGCGTCATGTCAAAAATATGCTGGAACTGGGCAGTAACCAACCGCTGGGCGGAGATCCTGAAAATCACTGCCAGCAGCCAACGCTTGAAGCCGCTCACTCGCTCGCTCTCTTCACAGGAATCTTCCAGCCTCTCCATTTGGTCATTTAATATCAATTCCATTTCACGTGGCACCTTGTCACACCACACACAGAGAGAGAGAGAGATGAGAAAGAGAGAGCAATGAGAGCAAGAGCCTCGCACATTGAGTGCAGACACTGTTATGTAAAGCTGTTACTCAGCAGCTGATGTGCATCACCAACAGTAAAGTGAGACAAACGACTCAACGTAACCTATTTTTCTGGGATGGAAGAAATATTGGCCAAGATCCGAAATCCCACCTAGTTCCTGCCCGTCTGACTGTTTTCTCTGAAAATTTAAGACGGCGCATAGAATTCTTAAATCCACCATTAATTCAGGAGTTACGTGAAGCCTGAATTGAAGCATTTTCCATGATTTTGACTGATCTTAAGAGCCCCCATCACCCCAGCCCTCGCCAGGCTCCACTGGATCCCCATTACACACACTAAACTCTGTCCCCCCCATCACACTCGTCCCCTCCACTCCGCCATCAGCGGTCACACAACTCAGGCAACAGCACTGCTCTAATACTGCACTGGAGTGTCAACCTTAGATTTGTGAGCTGAACTCTCCACCCAGAGCCCGGAGTGAATTAAACTGAGGAACTTAACACGCAATAAGTTTGTTAAGCAGTGCTCCTGCAAAGAACACCAACCACAACTTGCATTTCTATAGCGCCCCTCATGCAGGGCAACGACCTACAGCCCGATGCTGAGCTGGTGGAAGGGACGTTCTTCAGGCATGGGGGAAGGAGGGGGCAAGGCGGAGGGATGGAGGAAGAGTGTTCCAGAGTTTCGGGGCGTAATGGCTAAAAGACACGAGACACAAACAGGAGACCAGTGCTAGTCGAACGGAGACAACCGTAGTGGGTTGTGTGTGGGGGGGTGAGTGGGGGTGTGGGTAAGCAGGTCAGAGAGGTAGGGAGGTGCCAGGGCATGAAAGGGATTTGAAGATGAATGGGAGGATCTTGAAAACGAGCAAACCAGCATAAAAAAGTGGGGTTGTGTTCGAACTGTTCTTTAGTCTTTGATTTCTTTCTTTTCCCCTCCCTCCCTCCCTCCCCCCCACCCACCCCGCTTTCCTGGTTTTCAGTATAAAGCTGTGCAGCACCAATGTGTTTCAGTTTGGGTTCGATTGAGTAGCAATCTCACCTCGGAGTCAAAAGTCCTTACGTGTTGAAGCCCACAAGGACATGAATGAGCTCATCATCTCGAGGGCAAACAGGGCGATGCTAGAGGGAGCAGCGCAGTGTTTAATGTGCGGCCCTTTGGATGAAATGTTAAATCCAGGTTCCTTAGGCTGTTTCGGGCGAATGTGAAAGATCCCATTGACGGACACTTTGTGTTGCATGAAGAGTTGGGAGTTCTCCTGGGCCTGAACTTCTACCCAGCCCTTAAGACTGAAAGAAAGCAAAAGTCGCTGGGAACACTCAGCAGGTCAGGCAGCATCTATGGAGAAAGGAAAGTGAGTCAATATTTCGGGTCGAAATTTTGACTCACTTTCCTTTCTCCATAGATGCTGCCTGACCTGCTGAGTGATCCCAGCGACTTCTGTATCTGATACAGATTTCCAGCATCGGCAGTGTTTTCTAGCCTCCAAACTAATTGTCTTAAGGTCAAAGATACAACATAATTTACATTTATATAACGTCTTTCGCAAGGATGTCTCAAGGCACTTTACACAGCTGGCTGGGCTCTTCAGCTGATGGGGATGATGGTGGGGGTGGGGGGGGAGTTGAAGAGGGTGGGGGGGGAGGAGAAAGTGGAACAAGATGACCAAAAGTGAGCTGAAAGAGGCAAGTCAGCAACAAGAACTTGCATTTATACAGCGTCCTTCACATGAGGACAGCGTTCGGGAGCATTTAACAGTGGCGGAATCTGACACCAAGCGTGGGGGGGTGGGGGGGAGGTGACTGTGAACACGATCGAGGAGGAAGGTCTCCAGCCCTGATCTAAAAGAGGGGAAGGAGGAGGCAAGGTAGAGGGGTTGGGGGTCGTGGTGGGAGAGAGTTACAAAGATTCGGGGCGTAGTGGCTGAAAACATGGCCGCCGACGGTGGAGTGGAGGGGACGAGGGACAAACAGGAGGCCGGAGCCAGCCAAGCGGAGGCAGCGGGTAGTGAAGTGGGGAGAAAGCAGGTCGAAGAGGAAGGGAGGTGCCAGGGCCTGAAGGGATTTGAAGACGAGTGAGAGGATCTTGAAATCGATCCGTTCTGTGATAGGGATCCAGTGGAGCCTGGCGAGGGCTGGGGTGATGGGGTACGGAGTTAAATTTGTGTGATGGGGATCCAGTGGAGCCTGGCGAGGGCTGGGGTGATGGGGGCTCTTAAGATCAGTCAAAATCATGGAAAATGCTTCAATTCAGGCTTCACGTAACTCCTGAATTAATGGTGGATTTAAGAATTCTATGCGCCGTCTTAAATTTTCAGAGAAAACAGTCAGACGGGCAGGAACTAGGTGGGATTTCGGATCTTGGCCAATATTTCTTCCATCCCAGAAAAATAGGTTACGTTGGGTCGTTTGTCTCACTTTACTGTTGGTGATGCACATCAGCTGCTGAGTAACAGCTTTACATAACAGTGTCTGCACTCAATGTGCGAGGCTCTTGCTCTCATCTCTCTCTCTTTCTCATCTCTCTCTCTCTCTGTGTGTGGTGTGACAAGGTGCCACGTGAAATGGAATTGATATTAAATGACCAAATGGAGAGGCTGGAAGATTCCTGTGAAGAGAGCGAGCGAGTGAGCGGCTTCAAGCGTTGGCTGCTGGCAGTGATTTTCAGGATCTCCGCCCAGCGGTTGGTTACTGCCCAGTTCCAGCATATTTTTGACATGACGCCACCCCAGTGAGAGTGACTGCCACGTTTCACCCACAAAATATACAGTCAATCCACTTTACAGTGTAGTATAGCTTTGGGATGCCTTGAAGACATGATGAGGGCAGTATCAAATGCAAGGATTATTGTTATATTGTGGGCGAAACGTAGTGTCCAACAAACAGTCGTGGATTGAGTGACCAAATTATTATTATTATTTTTTGAAAGGATTATTACCCCCAAAAAAGCGATCTGCCAATCAACTAGCAACCGGGTTCCTACTCACTGCTGGAGTAAGGAAATTTGCCCAATGTTTTGCCGTGCCCGGGAATCGAACCCAGGTCCTCACAATTGCGAGTCAAGTGCTCCAACTACTGAGCTACACCTTGTAATTAGATGCAATGAAAATCTGATAACACTGCAGTGAAACCGAAGGGTATAATGAAATGTTGCCTGAACTAATTAGGCAACACTGTAAAATTCATTGCTATTCACCTTTGCGATGCAGTGCTTTCCAGTTACAGGACTAAGTTCAATGACTGATCAGTATTATGAGTTCTGTAAAAATACCCGGGTGTGGAGTTCTGTAGTGTAGAGCGCTCGACACACAAGTGAGAACATCTGGGTTCGATTGCCTGGCAGGACGAAATGTAATAATCGTTCAAAAATTAAAATGTTTCAAAATAATAATAATTTAGTCACTTCAATCCACGACTGTTTGTGGACGCTGCTGTGCGCAATTGGCTATACAGTCAATTCACTTTACAGTATATTCTGTGAAGAGCTTTGAGACGTCTCGAAGACGTGATAAGCCACTATATCAAATGCAAGGGTTATTATTATTATTATTAAAAAGAGAGGTTGAGGGAATAAGAAGTTTTGGAATTAAAAGTTTGCAGTTTTAAAACAACTTGTGGGAATGTTAACTTGGGGGAGTTTAAAGCGGTTGAATAACTGCAGGGTGTTTATTACCCCGCTGTGTTAATAATTAAATCTCGGACCTTGAGCTGCCGTTCGTCTCAAAGCCGTTGCCTGGGCAACAGAATGGGGGTGACGACTTCTAGGAATCACTGAACACAGCGAGTCTAAGATCCCAAAGACACATTTCGCTGACTGTCAGCGTGCGAGGCATGCGAGATAGAGCAAGGTATGTGAGATAGGCGCACAGCACTGCGAGGTAATTGCCACTGGACTCTGCAATGCTTTTACAACAACAGTCCTTGCCTTTGATACAGAGCCTTTTATACTTATATATCAATCCATTTCAGGAAATTGCTTTGCACCGACTAACGCCGACTGGGAGGAAACATCAGGGGACAAAGGTAAGCAAAATAATAAATAAAATAATATTTCTTGCATTTGATATGGCACCTTATCACGTCTTCGAGATGCCTCAAAGCGCTTCACAGAATATACCGTAAAGTGAATTGAATTTTGGGGGTGAAACGCAGCAGCCAATTGCGCACAGCAGCGTCCCACAAACAGTTGTGGATTGAGGGACCAAATTATTATTGTTGTTGTTTCTTCTGGATCCAATGATTTCCTTCTTATGCTGTGTGTGACTTGAATAAGTTTCTCCATTATATTGAAATGATTCAAATTCAGAACAAATCTGCAAGTGAGCGAGAAGTAACCAGGCTCCGGAAGGAGATGGTGGAGGCAGAAAGTGTCGATTCTTACAAGAACAAATTAGATAGATTTCTGTGAGGAAATAGTATCTGGGGATACAGTATATAGTTTGGAACACAACATGTCAAGTGACTGCCAGGATGGTGGAAGACAAACTAGATGGACCTTGGTCTTCTTTCACCAGCAAATCCTTAGGTTTTTATTGCTGGAAACCTTCCTTTGGGCCTTATCAACAAACGTCAAAAAAACCATAAGCTATTTTCTTCAACGCAAGAAATTAACTGTGGGAAATTACTCATTAAAACAGCAATTACTTGATGATTTTATGTGTCAGAAAGTTCTCAACAAGATGCTGAACGGAGTTTCCTTATCACAAATAAATTGGTCTGTCCTTGCTGGGAGAATAAAGTTTTGAGATGTCTCAATGACATGACAAGGCAAGGATTATTATTAATGTCCCACTTGAAGTGCTAACTGCCATGAAGGGTGGCGGAAGTTGAAATTTGGCTTGAGCAATGGGATCTCAGAGGGAGGTGAACTGGAGCCCTTTCTGCCCAGAGGAATTGTGTCGATATTGCTCCTGATCATATCATTGAGACGCTTCAAAGGGCTTTACAGGATACTCTGTGAAGTGAGGTGACCGTATATTTTGTGGGTGAAAAGCGGCAGCCAATTGTTCACCGCAGTGTCCCACAAACAGTTTTTTTTTGCAGAGGAACGGCCCAGAAACAGCCATGGATGTCCAATTTTATCCAGGGATGTGTTGTTCAGGAAACTCGGAGAAACTCCCCTCTCTTTTAAATAGTGCAATGGTATCTTTAATGTCCACCTGATCAGGTAGACAGGACCTCAGTTTAATGTCTCAAAGTCTTGTTTCTCTCTGCCCGGGAATCGAACCTGGGTCCTCTTGCTTATGAGGCTAGGGCTCTAACGAATCCGCCACAAGACTCCACGCCTTATAAAATGCATCAGGTGCTGCCTACTGTCAAGTTGTTTTGGATAACATTCAGCTAACTGATGCCCATCCATATATGTAGCTTGTGTGTGTTTTCAGTCAGTTCACTAACAAATCAGCCACTCCGGATGCAAACCAAGCACCCGATTAAATTACAGTTTATATTTTAGGGCAAAAATATAATCATCTTCAAAAACTATTATTGCCTTAATAATAATAATCCTTGTTTTGGTACAGCATCCTATCACGTCTTTAAGACGTCTCAAAGTGCTTCAAAATTACACTATAAAGTGAATTGACTGTATATTTTGTGAGTGAAACACGGCAGCCAATTGCACACAAACAGACGTGGATTGAAGTGACCAAATTATTATTTTTTTTAAGGGATTATTATCCCCCAAAAAGCAATCCGCCAATCGACTAACAACTGGGTTCCTGCTTACTGCGGGGTAAACAGAGGCGTGTGGAGTAAGGAAAGTTGCCCAATGTTTTGCTCTGTCCGGGAATTGAACCCAGGTCTTTCGCTTGCGAGGCGAGTGCTCTAACCACTGAGCTACAGGTCTCCACACCTTCTAAAAACCTCAGGTGGTTTGACATTCAGCTAATCACAACATGTCTCTGTAGAGTTACTACATATAGATCCTGTGATGCACTCAAACGGCTTTTCAACTTGTCAGCTCCGTGCCTTACCCTCCGCTCTGCGTAAACTGGAGCAAGCAAGATGCTGTGTCTTTAAGCAACTCTTTTTTTTGTGAAAGTTGAAAGAGACGTTTTGACATTTAGCTCATAAAGGTTAAACCACTCGGGAGACAGTGGGTTCAGTGTTGATGTTGGCTCCGAGTTTGTGGTTGGTATTAATTACCTCAGTGATTTCTCATTGCAGAAATCTGGTTCTTTGGTGGCACTCTCACCTCTCAGGGAGCAAGAAGGTTGGTGCCCCATGTCGGGACTCTGAACCCATGGCTGATACAGTGTGGAGGGAGGGCTGCACTGTTGGAGGTATATACAACGACTCAGATGTGAACCTGCGGGATGTCTGCTTGATGAGGTGGATGTTAGAAAATCGTATGTGAAATGAGAAAGGCTCTCCTCCCAGCCTTCAGATAAATTGCTTATTCAACTTGTTCCTGCAACAATAATAATAATAATCCTTGCTTTTGATATAAGGCCTTATCATGTCGTTGAGACGTCTCAAAGCGCTTCACAGAATAAAGTGAAGTAAAGTGAATTCACTGTGTATTTAGTGTGTGAAACGTGGCAGCCAATTGCACACAGCAGCGTCCCACAAAGGGATTAGTACTCCTGGAAAGCGTTCTACCAATCGACTAACAACCCGGTTCCTACTTACTGCCAAGCAGAGGGTGGGTGTGGAGTAAGGAAACTTGCCTAAGGTTTTGACCTGCCTGGGAATTGAACCCGGGTCCTTTTGCTTGTGAGGCAAGTGCTCTAACCAATACGCTATGTGGTAATGGCTGTATATAACTATGGATATTGTCCAGGCACTCAATATCACTATGAACATTGTACAGATTGGATTTCAGTGTCATTGATATTGTGTCAACTGTCAGCGAAGCACCAAAAGAATTATCTGTTGTCACCACACGTTCTCTCCAACCCCCACAGGAGCTAATTAATTCAATCTCCGTTACGCAAGAGTGTCTAGAGACTGACAACCGTGGTCTCTCCACATTCTCTCACACACAGAGGGAAACACACAGACCACATTGAATATGCTTTGGATCAGGGCTTTTTAATTAAGCTACTCCACAGGATGAGCTGAACCTCACTGCGAGGGCTCTGGATGGGTTTGAATGAGACCTGTACTTGTTATTGATAGTTCTGGTATTTAGTTATCTGGCTCCAACGCGGTGTTGGCAAATCACACTGTGTTCAACCCCCTTCACAGGCATTCACTGCCTCAAAGTAACATGACATTTCCCCCACATCTGATACATACCTAAAAAAAATTAAAATCGAGTATTATCTCCTCTAAGATAAGCTCCACCGGCTCCCTATCACAGAACGGATCGATTTCAAGATCATTCTCACTCGTCTACAAATCCCTTCAAGCCCTGGCATCTCCCTACATTTCTGACCTGCTTTCCCCCCCACTCCCACACTACCCGCTGCCTCCGCTTGGCTGGCTCTGGCCTCCTATTTGTCCACTCGTCCCCTCCACTCCGCCATCGGCGGCTGTGCTTTTAGCCACTGCGCCCCGAAGCTTTGGAACTCTCTCTCCCCACCAGTCCCTCCATCTTGCCTCCTCCTTCCCATCATTTAGATCAGGACTGAAGTACTTCTTCTTCGACCGTGTTTACGGTCACCTCCTTCCTCCCTCCGGCTCCTCCACCATTAAGTGCTCCGAGAAGCTGCACCATGTGAAGGGCGCAGTGTAAATGCAAGTCGTCGTTGTTGTTGTTGCAGCATTTTACTAGATCATCTTCTACACATTTCCAACACTAAGTGCTATGAAGAAGATGATGAAGAAATAGAAGTGGGGGTTGCCACAGGTTATGGAGTCTGTTATTTACTCCGATGGCAATCTTTTCGTCATTTCTTTACCAAAATGATTTTTTCCAATTAAGTTTGAAGCCTGGATTTTAGAATTTGCCACAGTTGTGCACGCTCTGAGTCTCAAAGCTCTTAAAGAGCATTGCTGAGAGACCTTGGGAACGTTCAGCAACAGACAACAGCTGCAACAAGAAATCAGGAAATATGAAGAATTTTCCACAATTCTGTGGGAATATCATGAGACAGTTGGTCTTGGAGAAGGGAGTTTCTCCCAGTGTTCTGGCCAATAACCCAACCCACAACCTTCCCCAAATAAAATCCGAGATTCACTTTGTGACCTTTTGTGGGATGTTGCTGTCTGCAAATTAGCTGCCGGGTTCGTGTGCAAAAACTCAACCCCTCCACTCTCCAGTAAATCCTGTGAAGCGCTTTAAGACGTCCTTCCGACACGAAAGGCGCCGTACCAAACGGAACGATTATTATTCATATTATTAATAATAATAAAGGTAAGATAATAACCCTTGCATTTGATGTAGTGCCTTATCAGGCCTTCGAGACAGCTCAAAGCGTTTCACAGGATATACTGTAAAGTGAACCGACTGTTAGTTTGAGGTGAAGTTAAGAGACTGGAGCAAGTTTAAACATTAATGGAATCGCAACACTGGGATCATTTTATAAATGATTAAGTGGCCGCTCATCTCAGCCCGAGCGCGGAGGAAAGTGCGCTGTCCGACAGTCAGGAGCTTGTGGCGCGAGGATCACCATGGCGATAATGAAGCAGACCCAGCAAAACAGAACTCCATTAATTGAAGGAAAACAGAGCAGTGAGTTCTGGTTTGAGCCCAAGCAAACAGAGCTGTGTGCCTGGAGATCCCGCCAGATCATTATAGGGCTGAGACAGTTCATCACCAGCTTTGCAAATCGTAAATCACATCTTTTAATAACAATGATGTTATAATAATAATTCTTGCATTTGATATAGTGTTTCATCACGTCTTTGAGACGTCTCAAAGCGCTTCACAGGATACACTGTAAAGTGAATTGACTGTACATTTTGCAGGCAAAATGCGGCAGCCAATTGCACACAGCAGCGTCCCACACACAGTGGTGAATTGAGTGAATAAATGATTCATTTTATTAATTTTTTGAAGGGATTATTATCCGGAAAAATGATCCACCAATCAACTAACAACTGGGTTCCTACTTACTGCTGGTAAACAGAGACGTGTGTGTGCAGTAAGGAGACTTGCCGAAGGTTTGGCTCCGACCGAGAATCGAACCCGGGTCCTCTTGCTTGCGAGGCGAGCACTCTAACCGCTGAGCTACAGGATTCCACAAAAGAACAGAGGATATTTATGAAGTGTGTTATAGCATCCTGATTGCTTCATGGCACTAACCTGAGACAAATCCCAGTCTTGAATGTATTAACTGTTAAGTCTCAGCACATAAATAGATACTCATTAATTCGCAATTGCTTACAGCTGTGGGAACACTTTCAAGTCAGTAATTGGTTTTTTTTAGAAATTATTTATTGTTTATAAAACAACACATCTATTGTTTTTTCTGTTTGTTGTAAAAGTGCTTAACAGCCTCCAAGAGGAAAAAAAAAGCAGCCGGTGAATAACAAAATCAGATTTTTCACTGTGTTCCACAAAGCACTGGGGAGGTGCCCTCCGTCAAACTGGATAATTGCTGTTCCATTTGTAAAACCTCCATGTGACCTTCTGTGCTTTCAGCCCCATTTCGTGAACTGGAGAAATAGCAATGCAACGCTGTATCACTCAGATAACCTTATAAATAATAATAATTGTTGTATTTGATATAGTGCCTCACCACAGCTTTGAGACGCCTCAAAGCGCTTCTCAGAAAATACTGCAAAATGAATTGTTTGTGGGTGTAACGTGGCAGCCAACTGCGCACAGCAGTGTCCCACAAACAGTCATGGATTGAATGACCTAAAATTTTTTTTAAATAATATTTTTTNAACGTATTTATTAATTATTGAAGGGATTAACCCCCGGAAAGCGATCCGCCAATCGATTAACAACCGGGTTGCTACTTACAGTGAGGTAAACAAAGGAGTTGTTTGCCCAAGGTTTCGCTCTGCTGGGAATCGAACCCAGGTCCTCTCGCTTACGAGGCAAACTATGTATTTTGTAGGATGAAACGCTTGATCTTTGTTTCTGTTTTACTCAACTCACTTTCATCCTCGTGGGCTTGTTATGGTTTCTAATGGAAGTTGTTTCAGCTCTCTGTAGGTGGTAGAGATTCTGACTGGCTCTATTTCCTTAGCATTTCAAAGCGTGCAGAATTTGTCAAATTCTTGAATTCAGTCTTATCTTTGAAGTCTAAATTCTTCTAAATTTGTGTAAATTCTTAGAAGAAACTCATTCAGTTGATAGCAGTCCTGCCTCTAAGTCAGAAGGTTTGTGGATTCAAGTCCCAACTCACATTGTGGCTCTCCAACTCAATGCTAACTTGCACGTAGGGAGGAGAATATCTCAGAGCACTTTACGAGGTCGGAGCCTAAAGTAGATAGGGATAGAGAAGGAGGTGATGAAAGTGCGATCAGAGAGAGGCAGGTTTTTAAATGGAATTTGAATGTTGTATCCTGTAGCATACTGGTTGAGCACTCACCTCGCAAGCGAGAGGACCTCTTAGGCAAGTTTCCTTACTCCATGCGCCTCTGCTTACCCAGCGGTAAGTAGGAACCTGGTTGTTAGTCGATTGGCAGATCACTTTTCCGGGGGTAATAATTCCTTTAAATTTAAAAAAAATGTGGTCACTCAATCAACGACTGTTTGTGGGACGCTGCTGTGGTCAATTGGCTGCCGCGTTTCACCCACAAAATATACAATCAATTCACTTACAGTATATTCCATAAAGCGCTTTGCAACATCTCAAAGATGTGATAAGGTGCTTTTTGAAATACAAGGATTATTATTATAATTTTGGAAAGCGATCTTGAATTCAGTCTGAATTCGCTGACAGGAAAGAACGAACTACAGAAATTCGGTGTCCAAATTAAGACTGGAATTAAATTTTAAGGTGGTGGTCTCAATCTTAAAACTATGAGGATATTTTGGCCACGCAATGGCTATCCTGGGAAGGATGAGTGGAAAAAATGCTTTATGTTTCTAAATTTGTTGTAGGGTTTTTTTTAACAGAATAAAAATAATAATAATAATAATTCTTACATTTTGGCATACCCCAAAGCTCTTCACAGGATATACTGTAAAGTGGGCAGCCAATTTGCACACAGTAATGCCCCACAAACAGCCATGGAGTGAGTGATCAGTTTTATTCTGAGAATTTGTTTGACCAGTACACTGGGACAGAGAGAGAGAGAGAGACACCTTTCCCCTTTTGAGGAATTCTATGGAATCTTTAGCATCCACCTGAACAGGTGGATAAGGCCTCAGTTTAACATCTCATCCGAAGGACAGCACCTCCCAAGGCACTCCATTGGAGCATCAGCTTAGACTATATGTTTGAATCCTCATTACCCCCACCCTCGTTCGGCTCCACTGGCTTCCCATCCCTCAGAGGATTGAGTTCAAGGCCCTCCCTGGCCTTGCCCCCTTCTACTTCTCCGACCTGCTAACCCTTTATCAATCTGTCTGCTCCCTCTACTCAGCAGGCTCTGGCCTCCTCCATCTCCCCCACCTAGCCTGCCCCCCACCCCACCATCGGCCTCTCTGCCCCCACCCTCTGGAACTCCTTCCCAGAGTCCCTATGCCTTGCTCCCTCCCTTGCCTCCTTCAAGACCCGTCTCAAGACCCACCTCTTCGACGGGTGCTTTTGGTCGCCCTCCTACCCTCTCTGCACTCCTCCCACCCCCCTGATCGGGTCCTAATCCCTGACTGTTCAGCGCCTTGGGATGTCCTCCCTACATGACAGGCGCTTTACAAATGTCATTTTGTATGGTATTTTGCTGTGAAAATGAATTCCAAATCCCGATCTGGAGTTTGAACTTACAACCTTCTGTTCTGACTCAGAGGCGAGAGTGCTACCAACTGAGGCAGGCTGACACACAATAAACAAAACCATAAAATGATTGTACAGTATTCCCCAAACGTGCCCTCCCCCCACCTGTTAAAATTGTTTATCCACATTGACTCCCATTTTGAAGAGAAGTCACATCTTTCAGAGGCGCGGGTCATTTTCAGTTCATGTGCTCATGCTTCTGATTTCCTCTCTTCCCCTGGAGTCCTGGCCATGTGGTTGCCAGGAATCCAGGAGCCATAGAACTGAGATCAACAGCTGGAGTTGCTCAAAGCGCCCATTGATGAAATGAGCATTGCTTCCAAAATCTCTATGCATCATAGACAGTGCCAGAAATCTGTTTTTTTCCCCAAATAAAAAGAAATGAAGGCAGATAGATCTATTGGTTTAGCTCACACCTGTGCTCCATGTACATATAAAAAAAATGTTTTTTTGCAGTAATTTCAAGGTCAGAGAAAATTCTAGATTAGGACAGAAACCAACATACAAAGTAATTGGAACCATCTTGACCCGTTATACAGTGGACACTTAAGCCAGTTACCAGCAGGTTGCAATGAAAAAGCAGTGATTAAAGAGCGAGAAACAGATGGAACTGTGGAGAATTATCCTTCGGGTCTGATCCCTTAACAAAGCTGTTCTGTTGTTTTATCTGAACAGGCGGGTGACAACTGACCAGAAGTCGAACGTTTCGTCTGTTTAACGTAAGTCGGAATCCTTTTCTTCTTCGCGTTTGTTTTCAAGTGCTGCACTCCAACCCCCCACCTCCCTGCACTGCCCTCGAAATACAACCTACTTCCATTTGCAAGACCTCATTAAGTTACCATGTGTTTCTTTCATATCAAATTTCAAAATTAACTTAGGGGTTGGGGCTGGGGATGGGGTGGGGTTGGGGATTGGGGGTGGGTTGGGGTTTGGGGATTTGGGGTTGGAATTTGGGGGTTGGGGTTTAGGGGTCGGGTTTCGGGGTTCCGGTTTTGGGATTGGGGGTGGTTTGGGGATGGGGTTGGGGTTCGGGGAGTGGGGGTGGGTTGAGGTTGGGGTTGGGTTGCGGGTTAGGAGTGGGTTGAGGTTGGAATTGAGGGTTGGGGTGGGTTGAGGTCAGGGGTTGAGGTCAGGGTTTGCAGTTGGGGTTGGGATTTGGGGGTGGTTTGGGGTTGGGGTTAGGGGTGGTTTGGGGTTCAGGTTGGGGGTGGTTTGGGGTTGAGGTTTGGGGTTGGAGGGTTAGGGTTGGTTTGGGGGTTGGGGTTGTTTTGGGGGTTGGGGTTGGTTTGGGGGTTGGGTTGGGGGTGGTTTGGGCTTTGGGGTTTGTGGGTTGGGGGGGTTGGGAGCTTGGGGTTGGGGTTTGGGGGTGGTTGGGGTTGAGGTTGGGTGTGTGTTTGAGGATTGGGGGGTGGTTTGAGGTTGGGATGTGGGGGTTGGGTGTGGGTTTGGGGTTGGGGGGTTGGGGGTGGTTTGGGGTTGGGGGTTTGGAGTGATTTGAGGTTGGGGGTGGCTTGGGGTTGGGGGTGGCTTGGGGTTGGAGGTTTTGGGGTTAGTTTGGGTTTGGGGGTAAGTTTGGGTTTGGGGGTAAGTTTGGGTTTGGGGGTAAGTTTGGGGGTGGTTTGGGGGTGGTTTTGGTTTGGGGTGGGGGTGGGTTGAGGATGGTTGTAGTAGTTGTTGTGGTTGTTTTAAGTCTTGTGTTATTTAAAATTGCTGATACCATTGGTACATTGGTCTTGTGGGGTAACTTTACAGGGAGCAGCTGTAGCCAATTAAGCCGAACCAATAGCAAATAACTTATTGATTAAATTAACTTATTGATTAATCACTTGTTTAGGTGTTAATTCCAAATCACTGCTGAGCAAATCAGAAATGGGTTGCACCCAGAAAGTATAAATAGGAGATAGCTGCGAGAGCCTCACTCGAGTGAGTTATGTCTGGAGTGAGGTCAGAGTGTGAGGGAATTAGGTGAGAGTGGGAATTAGGTGAGAGTGGGAATTAGTGCAGAGGGGGAAGTGGGGGCAGGCTATATATCTTTGTATCTATATAAAGTTTGTGAAGATGGTGTGGCAGGTAAACTGTGAGGTCTGTCACATGTGGGAGTCAATGGAGGGCGCCTTAAGTCCGGGTGACTTTGTCTGCTGCAAGTGTCTGGAAATCAGAGAGCTCCAGCTGAGAGTAGCTGAGCTGGAGTCTCAGGTGGAGACGCTGCACAGCATTAGGGATGGAGAAAACTTCCTGGACAGCTTTATCCTGGAGCCGGACACTCCCCTGAGTCCCAAGGCAGAAGAATATAGCAGCGACGGACATGACTGGGTGACAGTCAGTCAGGCGGGCAGGCAAGCGTTCCCGAAAGAGAGGGGCTGAAGAATCCCAGACTTTAGCCTTGTCTGACAGGTATGAAATATTGGCAACCTGTGTGGATGAGGAAATCTGTGAGGAAGACGGGCAAACTGACCCCAACACTCCTGTGCAGGAGGTTAAAAATGTAATTCTTATTGGGGATGAGACAGTCGGGAGGACTGATACAGTTTTCTGTAGCTGTAGCAGGGAGACAAGAAGACTCTGTTGTCTTCCTGACAGTTAATTTAATCACTGCCACTGCCGGGCTGGAGATAAATTTGAGGCATGAGGGAGAGGATCCAATTGTAATGGCACATTTAGGGACCAATGACATTGGTAGGACCAGTAGGGACGAGTTAAGGAGCGAGTTCCGGGAATTGGGAATTAAACTAAGGAATAGAACTTCCAAAGTGATGATATCGGGACTGTTACCTGAGCCAGGAGCTAATTGGTACAGGCAAAAGAAGATCATAGATCTGAATGCCTGGCTAAAAGAGTGGTGCGGAGAGCAGGAATTCCAATTCATGGGCCACTGGCACGAGTATTGGGGAAGATGGGAGCTTTTCCAAAGGAATGGGCTCCACCTAAATAGGGCTGGGACAAATGTCCTGGCTACGCGAATAAATAGGGAGGTAGAAAGGGCTTTAAACTACTAAGGGGGGGGGGAGGTAAAAACATAGTAAAGTATAGTCCACCACAGTTAAACTTGAGATCAACAAAAGCAAGAGAGCAGATTAACAAGGGAGAAGAGCAAAGTGTGTCAAGCCGGGAAAGGAAGTACAGTGATAGAGTGCTGGTGAATAGGGTTAATAGCCGGAAGTCAGAATTAAGGCGCTATATCTGAATGCACGAAGCATTCGTAACAAGATAGATGAATTAGTTGCACAAATAGAGACAAACCGGTATGATCTAGTAGCCATCACCGAGACATGGTTACAGGGTGATCAGGGATGGGAACTGAATATTCCCGGCTACGTGGTATATAGGAAAGATAGGCGATGTGGTAAACGAGGAGGGGGAGTGGCCCTGCTAATAAAGGATGGGATAAAAACAGTAGAGAGGAAAGATTTTAAATCTGAAAAGCAAGATGTAGAGTCAGTATGGGTAGAGATACGTAACTTCAAGGGGCAGAAAACTATAGTGGGAGTAGTTTATAGACCCCCAAACAGTGGTCAAAGTATCGCTCAAGGTATAAATCAAGAGATTAGTGGAGCATGTAGCAAAGGAAAGACACTAATTGTGGGTGATTTTAACCTGCACATAGACTGGGACAACCAAATTGGGAAAGGTAACATAGAAGAGGAGTTTATAGAATGTATTAGAGATAATTTTCTAGATCAATATGCTGAGGAGCCGACCAGGGAACAAGCCATATTAGACCTTGTTTTGTGTAATGAAACAGGGCTGATCAGCAAACTGGAACTTAAGGCTCCTCTAGGGCAAAGCGATCATAATATGATGGAATTTAGCGTTAAGTTAGAGAGGGAAGTAGTTAAGTCTGAAGCAAAAGTCTTCAATTTAAATCGAGCCAACTTTGCTGGTATGAGAGAGGATTTAGCCAGAATAAACTGGGAGACTAAACTTAAAGATTTGACGGTAGACCAGCAATGGCAGACATTCAAGGAGATAGTGCAAAATTCCCAACGAGCACATATTCCTTTGAGGAATAAGAATGCCATGGGAAAGGTGGTGCAGCCATGGCTAACTAGAGCAGTTAGGGAAAGTATCAAATCAAAAGAAAAAGCCTATAAAACAGCGAAGATGAGTAGTAAACCCGAGGATTGGGAGAACTTTAGGGAACAACAGAGGAGGACCAAAAAATTGATCAAGAGGGAGAAAATAGATTACGAGGGCAAACTAGCAAAGAACATAAAAACAGACTCCAAGAGTTTTTACAAATATATAAAGAGGAAAAGGCTAGCGAGGGTGAATGTGGGTCCATTACAGGCAGAGACCGGAGGAATTATAATAGGGGACAAAGACATGGCAGAGTCATTAAACAAGTATTTTTCTACAGTCTTCACCGTAGAAGACACTGGAAACATACCAAAAATAGAGGACCAAGAAGACAATGTTAGCGAGCAACTTAGGGAGATTAACATTAGTAAAGAGATGGTTCTAGGTAAATTGTCGGGTCTTAAAACCGATAAATCCCCTGGACCGGATGGCCTGCATCCGAGAGTTTTAAAGGAGGTGGCTACTGAGATAGTGGATGGCATGTCTATAATCTTCCAAAAGTCTGTGGATACTGGAAAAGTTCCCATTGATTGGAAGATTGCAAACGTAACTCCACTATTTAAGAAGGGTGGGAGAGAAAATAGGGAAAACTATAGACCAGTTAGTTTGACGTCAGTTGTAGGGAAAATTCTTGAGTCCTTAATAAAAGACGTAGTTATGGGATACCTGGAAGACCATAAAAAGATTAGGCAGAGTCAACATGGCTTTACAAAAGGGAAGTCATGCTTGACTAACCTTTTAGAATTTTTTGAGGATGTATCCAGCAGGTTGGATAAGGGGGAACCAGTAGATGTGGTATATTTGGATTTTAGGAAGGCATTTGACAAGGTGCCACACAAAAGGCTGTTACTCAAGATCAAGGCCCACGGGATTAATGGGAAAATATTAACATGGATAGAAGAGTGGCTATCGGGTAGAAAGCAGAGAGTAGTGATAAACGGATCATTCTCGAATTGGCAGGATGTAACTAGTGGAGTGCCACAAGGATCAGTGCTTGGGCCTCAGCTATTTACCATTTACATCAATGATCTGGACGAGGACATTGAATGTAATGTGTCTAAATTCGCGGATGATACTAAACTAGGTAGCAGAGTGAGCTCTCAGGATGATGCAAAAAGATTGCAACAAGATATAGATAGGCTCGGGGAGTGGGCAAGTAGGTGGCAGATGGAATTCAATGTTAGCAAGTGTGAAATTATTCACCTTGGTAGCAAGAATAAAAGAACAGATTATTTTCTGGAAGGGGAGAAGTTAGATAGTGTTAGTATTCAAAGGGATTTGGGTGTCCTTGTACACCAGTCCCAAAAAGTTAGTTTGCAGGTGCAGCAGCAACTAAGAAGGCGAACGTTAGCGTTCATTTCGAAAGGTTTAGAATATAAGAGTAGGGAAGTCTTGCTGCAACTGTATAGGGCTTTGGTGAGACCGCACCGAGAGTATTGTGTGCAGTTTTGGTCCTTATTTAAAAAAGGACATACTTGCCCTGGAGGGGGTGCAGCGTAGATTCACTCGGTTAGTTCCTGGGATGAGGGGACTGACCTATGAGGAGAGGCTGAATAAACTGGGGCTGTATTCTCTAGAGTACAGAAGAATTAGGGGAGATCTTATTGAAACTTATAAGATTCTTAAAGGGCTGATAAAGTAGACACTGAGGGTCTGTTTCCCCGGGAGGAGAATCTATAACCAGGGGTCACAGTCTTAAAATTAAGGGTCAGCCTTTTAGAACAGAGTTGAGGAAACATTTCTTCACTCAGAGGGTAGTAAACTTATGGAATTCACTGCCCCAGAAGGCTGTAGATGCTCAGTCCTTGAACATTTTCAAGGCTGAGACTGATAGATTCTTGAAAAATAGAGGGATTAGGGGATATGGGGATAGGGCAGGTAATCAGAGTTAGGTGATAAGATCAGCCATGATCTTATTGAATGGCGGAGCAGGCACGAAGGGCCGAATGGCCTACTCTTGCTCCTAATTCTTATGTTCTTATGTTTGGGGTTGGGGGTGGTTTGGGGTTGGGGGTGGTTTGGGGTTGGGGGTGGTTTGGGGTTGGGGGTGGTTTGGGGTTGGGGGTGGTTTGGGGTTGGGGGTGGTTTGGGGTTGGGGGTGGTTTGGGTTGGGGGTGGTTTGGGGTTGGGGTGGTTTGGGTTGGGGGTGGGTTGGGTTGGGGTGGGTTGGGGTTGGGGGTGGGGGGGGGGGGTGGTGGGGGGGGGGGTTGGGGGCTGGGGGCGGGGGGGGCTGGGGCGGGGGTTGGGGGCGGGGGTTGGGGGTGGGTTGGGGTTGGGGTCCACTATTTGAAGGCTTTTGAAGTTTCTACAAAAATGCAGTAAATTGGTCTTTTCTAATGTGAGGCATTTGTACCAGAAAAGGACAAGTTGTTTTTTTTGTTCAAATACTGTTGAAATTCCATGTAAAAATGTCACTTCAGGGCTCCATTCCGACCCCCAGAGACGCCATCTGGCGGGAACGGCGCTCTATAAATGCAATTTGCTGTTCAGAAAGATTCCAAGGTTCGGTTGCCAATCTACGCCAACCAGAGTTTCACCCACAATTTATACAATCAATTCACTTTACAGTATATTCTGTGAAGCGCTTTGAGACGTCTCAAAGACGTGATAAGTTGCTTTGTCAAATGCAAGGATTATTATTATTATTGTTAATATTGTTATTATTACGCTGAATTAGTGGATCTCAACCAAGGCAAAACCTGGCAGAGGAGCGCAAAGCACCAGCCATGGTATGTGCCTTGCAGAGCCTCAAAATTCAACAAAGACAACTTGTATTTATATTAATGTAGTGTCCCAGAGAGCTTAAATATGAGACATTTATCATATTCTCGGACTGGAGACCATTGCCTTTAAGAGGTTTCTTTCCAACTGGGCCATCGTTCCCTTATTCCTGTTTCTGCCCATCCACAGCTCAGACTTCCAGCATCTCTGTGAAGCACTTAGAGACTTGATGTGATGTGAAAGGTGCTGTGTCATGTAACATTGATGTTGTTGCTCTAATAATACTTGCATTTTATATAGCCACTGATCACATTGTCGAGACATCTCAAAGTGCTTCACAGTGTATGCTGTAAAGTGAACTGACTGTATATTTTGTGGGCAAGATGTGTGCCTATACAATTTAAGATTATGGAAACGTCTTGAATTGAATGGATGGTTTTCCACATTCTTTTTTGGTTCTTGAGAATATTGGCCTCCAAATTACCACCAACTCTATGATTTTCCAAAGATCATATGGTTCAAAATGATGGTCTTTAAGCCTTGCGATCATGAGGAATTTCATACCCTAAACGGGAACCCATGATGGAATATGATAATAACAATCCTTGTGTTTAATACAGCACCTATAACTTAAATAACGTCTCAAACAGCTTCACAGAGTTTTTCTGCACCTGTTTTATGCCTTTGAATCAAAACAGGATCAGAAAGTATATATATATGAAAACAAATGTGGTCACTCAATCCACGGCTGTTTGTGGGACGCTGCTGTGCACAATTGGCTGCTGCGTTTTGCCCACAAAATATACAGTCAATTCACTTTATAGTATATTCTGTGAAGCGCTTTGAGATATCAAGTGACTACAATTCTTTTGGGTTGTGGGAGAGAGGGATTGTTACTCTTGGAAAGTGATCCGCCAATCGACTAACAACTGGGTTCCTACTTACTGCTAGGTACACAGAGGCCCTGAGGAAGGAGTGACGGGAGCTGTTTCTGCTGGAGTTTGGAGAGTCCCCGTGCTTGTGAACGTGAGGAAGGGTGGGTGGGGGGGAGAGTGTGGGGGGGGAAGAGGAAGAGGGGCGATGGTATGCTGTAGACACAAAATGGGCATCTCCTCAATCAAGCTGGTCTTCTCTGCTCTGGGCTGCTGCATCTGCTGTATCTCCCTAGTGAAAGGCAGCAACCTCACGCTTATCTTTCAGAACGAGCGCAGCTTCCGCAACTGCAGCTGTTCCAGCAGCATCCCCGAATGCAACGTGGCCTTGGCCAACATTCTGTGCTGCTGCTCCACCATCTCCTCCAAGGAGCTCGAACGAGCCAGCCCAGCCCTCAGCTACAGCACCCAACTGGCCGTGTGGGTGTCTGATATCAGCTCGGTGGGTGTCCTGCTCAATAACTCCTTCGTCTTAGATCTCAGGCTGTCCCTGTGCAGCACCAGGGCCGTTGTGACGGAGTACATCATCATCTTTGGGCTGAGGAGGCTCTGCGTCTTCAATCCGAAAGCACAAGAATACCCGAGGCAGAACATCACGATTCACAGCACAGACACTGGGGTGGCTAAGCTGCCCTCGCTGAGCCACAGAGACATCTCGTTTTATGTTGCGTTCTTGAACGTGGCTCTGCTGAACGGAGATTCAAAATTAAAGGCATATTCGGTGCCAAACATCACCAACATCGAAGACTACTTCCCGCACCTTCCCACCCTACCCTCTGCCACCAACACGTCTCTCATCACCTTTATCTATGTTTAGAAACAACAACTTGAGTTTATATAGCGCCCCTCAGGTGGAGCAGCATCTCGGAGCTCTTAACAGTGACACCGAGCCGGGGGGAGGGAGGATGGTCTTCAGTCATGATCTAAAAGAGGGAAAGGAGGAGGCAAGGTGGAGGGATTAGGGAGAGAGAAACTTTCTCAACAGTTATTTGATTCCTCTAACTCCGACATTATGTCTTCAACCGTTGCGTTTTTTTAAAAAAAGAAAACTCCTCAGGTCTGAAATTGTACCTCGTCTCAGCCTTGGTAAAGGCCGATTTTTGTCTTAGAAATATATAGATAATAAATAATATAAATAATCCTTACATTTGATATAGTGTTGAGAGGACATCTTAATGGCCTTTGCAGGATATACTGAAAGGTGCAGTGACTGCATTTTGTGGATGAACCCGGCAGCAGATTTCGCACAGCAATGTCCCACAAACAGCCATGAAGTGGACAACCAATTTTATCTGGGGGAATTGTGTTAGCCAAGGAAAAACTCTCCACAGGATCTTTAGCTACAAGTAAAGTGCTACAAGTGAATTGACTGTATATTTTGTGGATGAAACACGGCAGTCACTTGCACACAGCAGCGTCCCACAAACAGTGGTGGATTGTGATCAGATTATTATTATTTTTTTTTGTAAGATTATTACCCCTTGAAAAGCGATCCGCCAATCCAATAGCAACCAGGTTCCTACTTGCTGCTGGGTAAACAGAGGCGTGTGCGTGGAGTTATTATTGAATAATATTATTGAAATAATATTATTAATAATATTATTGAAACTTGCCTGAGGTTTTACCCTGCCAGGAATCGAACCCAGGTCCTCTCGCTTGCGAGGCGAGTGCTCTAACCACTTGCTCTCGAGTGCTCTAACCACAGGACTAACAGATAGCCTCCTGTGACGTTCTCCTCACACCGTAAGAAATCTCACCTGGTTTTGACCTGGAAGGTCATTCCGTCTTTTAAAAAGCATAACTTTCAAAAGGGAACTGGATACTTACTTGAAAAGAAAACATTTGCAGAGCTGTGGGGTAAGCACGGGGGAGCTCTTCCAAAAAGCTGGCATAGGCACGATGGACCGAATGGCCTCCTTCTGTGCCGTAAGATTCTATGATTCTTTGTTAATTTAATAATCCTGAAAGAATAATCCTTACATTTAATATAGTGTTTTTCATGTAGGATGGACGTCTCATAGCCCTTCACAGGATACACTGTAAAGTGTTGTCTCTGATGCTCACTCAACAGCAACAACCACAACAACAAGTACTTATTTAGTGTTTTTCACCCAGGAGAAAGTAGACATTTCAAAGTGGGAACCCGAGCTGGGAAAGAGATGTTAGGAGGTAAGATGGGAGGTGCGGAAAGCTGCAGCCGATGAGATTATTTATTAGACAGGGTTTGAAAGTAGAGAGGGAGGGTGCGAGGCAGAGGAATTTCGGAAGATTTCCAATGACAATGGTGGGGCAAAGCTGGGGAGGTATCTGAACGTGGGAACACCACTTTAACCTAATTTGGTATTTTTTGAGGACAGGGTTCCCTGGAGTCTGTATTACCTACATGGCAGAGTTCTGATTACCAGTAGCAGTGCCCACTCCAATTTCTGGGTCAAAACATCCTACTTAGAATTGCCCTCTGGTATGTGTTAACCTGGATATCATGGGGTGCTCTTATAAACAACTCATAGCACCTCTCACGCAGGGTAGCATCCCAGAGCGCTTGACAATGGCGGAGCGAGACGCCGAATTGGAAGGAGGGAGGGAGGTGACTGTAGAGGAAGGTCTTCAGGCAGAAGGTGATAGATGGAGAGTGTTCCAGAGTTTCCGGACGTAGCAGCTGAAGGTGCAGCCACCAATGGTGGAATGGAGGGCAGGAGGGTCAAGCAGAAGGTGGGAACCAATCAAACAGAGGCAACGGTTTATGGGTTGAGGAGTAAGCAGGTCGAAGAGGTAGGGAGATGCCAGAGCATGAAGGGATTTAGAGATGAGTTTGAGGATTTTGAAATTGACCTGTTCAATGACAGGGAGCCAGTGGAGTCTGGTGAGAACTGGTGTGATGGGATTACGGAGTTTAGTGCAGGTGAGTTTGCGGGCGGCAGAGTTCTGGATTTTGTAGACCTTCTGTTAAATATACTTCTGAGTCAGTCCGTCCTGCACCCACATAGCTCATGTAATCATCATGCACCTGCAGCAGTTTGTTACTGAGGCCTGAGGTTTTCTCAACCAGCTGCAACGTACACTCCAACCTCATTAATAGAGGAAGTTAATTCATTTCTTTCAAAAACCACAATAACATTGAAATATCTCGAAGAGCTTCAGTTTTTTTTTGTTTGCTCAGCTGGGTATGTGGCACAAGGGGAAACCCATCACCGTTGCTTAAGAATATCCAAACCAAGCTGAGAGTTCCATGCATCCCACCTACACATGGAAATCCCAGAGATAGGTTGTTGGAATGGAACATGCGCTCGCTCTCTCTCCCTGGAGGGACGCATCCTGCAGAATAATTGCTATCAGTGATGTTGTTTGCACGCTATCACAGCACCATTTTGCGCAAAGCCATGAGAGCTGAATAATAATAATAATCATCTTCACATTTGTTACAGTGCCTTATCGCACCTTCGAGATGTCTCAAAGCGCTTCATAGAATATACTGTGAAGTGAATTGACTATATTTTGTGGGGAAAACATGGCAGCCAATTGCACACAGCAGCCAGCAAACTTCTTATTGTTACAGCACCCTGTCACATCGTTCACAGGATATACTGTAAAGTTGTTTGACTGTATATTGTGGGGGCGAATGATTAATTTATCTAGGACCACCGTTAAGCCAGGATCCTGGGAGAAACTCACTTTACTTGTGCCAACTGAATCAGGGAAGTGTTTAGCTTGGTCTACGCCGATTGCCCAACCTTTGATGCCTTCTCTCACAGACATGACTTCATGTTGTGGTTACTCCAAGAATAGCAAAGCTTTCATTGTTCGGAGAATGTCTGTGTGACAAAAAACAATTGCTCACAGTCATGAGCGAGCGTAGTTTCTCATATTACTCCCAGCTTTTGTTTTTTACTTCCTCTGCTTTTTCCAAGTCAGCCACTTGATTCCTCTCGCATTGCATAACATTCACAAGCCTATAGTGCCCCCTCAACAACAACAACAAATGACACTTACACAACGTCTCTCAGGTCGGGAGGACGTCCCAAGGCGCTGCACAGCCAAGGATTTGGATCCGAGCTGAGGGTTGGGATCAGGAGGGGTGAAGGGCAAGCCGGGTGGGGGTAGAAGAGTGACTAAAGGCGTGGTCAAAGAGCAAGATTTGAGACGGGTCTTGAAGGAGACAAGGAAGGGGGTGAAGTGAAGTGACTGTGGGATGGAGTTCCAGAGAGGCTGAAGGCCCGACTGCTAATGGTGGGGCAGGCAGGTTGGGAGATTGACTGGAACAGGCCAGAGTCTGCCTAGCAGAAGGAGCGGGTTAGCAGGTCACAGAGGTAGAGAGGAGGCCGCTGAGGGCTTTGAAAGCGAGGACTTTGGACTGAATCCTATGGAGTATGGGGAGCCAGTGGAGCTGGGTGAGGATGGGGGTGATGGGTTTAAGGAGCCTGGTGCAGTAGAGGAGTTCTGAATAATCTGCAGCTCCTGAGTCAACTAATAGAATACACTTAAGAGGTGAGCATTAACAAGGTTATCATAATAATCCTTGCATTTGGTAAATAGCACCTTTTACATCAGGAGGATGTCCCAAAGCATTCCATAGGGTATAATAATCCTTAATGCAGTGACTGTGTGCAAATGCGAAGGCCAGCAATGTCCCACACACAGCCATGAAGATGCCAAAGCCAAAGTTCTGCCTTAAGATCATTGCCTTAAAATTTAGAATGTGCAGAGAATTCTGTGATATTAAGAGTAGGTAAGGTTGGGCAGGTAATCAGGAGTACCCTTACCTTGTTCGGTGAGGGTAGAGGAACAAGTTCAATGGGCTGAATGGCCTACTTCTGTCACTATGTTCCTTTGTTCTTCAGTTGAGGCTCAATTTGGCTGATGGTTTGGTGGTAAACTCTCAATTGTGCACAGTTCCACCAGGAGATTTAACACTGAACTGAGCATTGAGGTCAACTGTAATGCCCATAGTGTTATCCTGGCTGAGGTTCTCTTTGGTCACGAGTGACTTGACATTAAGACACATACAGCATTGGAGATGAGTCATATCTGCTCTTTATTGTTCAAGGCTGCAACAGACCCATCAAGTTTTATGGGGTAGAGAAAAAAAACCACTCACCACAATAAAGCAATCGAAAACAAAACTTTGTAATGAACTTTATGTTGGATATTTAAAATATAGCCAGATATATGTGTTCATGACCAATGGAAATGCAAAGAGTTGCACTGTCTCATAAGAATGTAAGAACTTAAGAATTGCTGGCGAAAGAAGACCAAGGTCCATCAAGTTCTCCTTCCACCATCCTGGCAGTCGCTTGCACATGTCGTGTTCAAAACTATATACTGTATCTCTGAGATATTATTTCCTAACAGGAATCTATCTAATTTGTTCTTGAAAAAATCAACACTTTCTGCTTCCACCATCTCAATCTCACTCTAGGGAGCCTATTCCATCACCGAAGTAATGTTTCTGCAGAGTTGTTCTAAATTTACCCTTCTTCAATCGCAGGCCGTGTCCTCTGGTTCTACTGTTCAGTACAAGATAAAGATCTTATCCTGGTCTATCTCCATTATCTAGCTCAGCGTATTGGTCAGAGCAAACCAATTCTGCATTCTGCTAACCCAAATTCAGATGGACGTCTGACACATGCACTCGTGTTCCAATGCTCAGACAGACACTTAATAAAGCTTTTCAAGCTTCCTGTTCACATTTGCACGTCAAAGGCTCCCATGACAAAACGATATGAACACAACAGATCTCCAAAAAGCAACCATTAAAAATGCAATGCAGCAAAGTGAAAGTTGTTGTTCAATTAAAAACCTTTCTTCCTGCATACAAATTTAGACGCATAAATTGTGTTTAAAACTCTGGAGAAACTAGACAAATGG